TTACTCGGCTTTCTTGAGTGAGCCGGATCAAACTTCACTCAAGGTCAGTTAGCCTGACTCAGTTCCCTTCACGCCTGTGTAAGCCCACACTTGCTTGACCCTGTTCTTCGAACGCTTATTGAAAAGGTAGAGGAGATGTGTGCATGCGCGTGTGAATAGGAGTCTGACTTGAGAATGGGTTTGCATTGTTTTCTTTTGAACTGGTTGTTTGATCTGATGTGCAGGTAGGTAGGAGTATGCCTGAAAAAAAAAGGGGGATCTGATCATGTCAGCGGGAATGAAGAAATGATGATTGTTTTCTGCCTCTCACATGCATGTCGAAGGGAAGGACAACAAGTAGACGACGCATAGGAATTTGATCACTCAAATAAGAAGGAATCAATTGGAGATAGATTTTCCTGAGGACACCCATTCTTTCCCGAATAACCCTCCTTGTCTGTGCCCTCCCATCCGAATGTTTTTTTTCTTCTATGCGATCTCCTTCTTCGTCTAGGTTCGCCCTTGACGTTAGGCGATAAGGGGCTGACCGTCTCCTGTGGTAAGTGCATTTTTTTTCCCTAGGAGGCATCTAAGGCGGGGGTTCGTTGCCTTAGGAGCCGACCCTGTTAACGACTCGGAGTGGACCACTTAGGCGGGGGGATACCATGCTGTCGTGGTGGAGCCAGCCCGACTTCTGAGATCCGAGGTTCGCTCGGGCGAGGACGAGGGGAATCCCAGACCACCTCCTAAGGGATGGACGTGTGTTACTCACAAAAGCCTCTAAGCTCTTCTCGGTTCCCGTTAAGAAGAACCGCTATAGTTTACCCTTCTAGTGGTCGTCTTAGGAGCCACAGACGAATGGGGAACTGGCGCCATAAGAAGCCCAGTTCGTGTGTTCACCAGCTATGGGCGGAGTGCGACTAGGCACTACCTTCGCGGATAGGTTTGCATCGTAAGAAGTGCAAGCCTGTGGTAATCAGGCTAGTTGACAGGAAGATGTGGTTAGAGCATTGCTTTGAATATCTTCATTTCGAAAGCTGGTACTCCATCATTCGTGGAACAGAAAGAGTAATTATTGCCCAGGAGGATGAAGCGACCAACAAAAATTGAAAATTGATCCTTGACCTCAATGAGACATTCAACGTTCGGCTGTTCAAGTCGAGTATTGACTCGTATAGTGGTAGTCGGACTACTTACAAATGACATTCACACCAAAGTTAGAGAGGTAGTGATGTCATCATTCAAGTAATGGCATCCTAATGTTACTTGAGAGTTGAAATTTGTCTGTGCTTCCTTTCTAGCAGTCAGTATGGGGCGGAAAGAAAGAACTTGGCAACACATCTCATCGAGTCGAAAAAGTCGTGACAGCCCAGCCGTCTGGCAGGCGGAGTTAAGATATTTTAGTCAGACGTCATTTGAGCATTGCCTTGTGTATAGGTCATGCCTTGAGCTTTTATTGATAAGTGTTGTTAGAGGTCAACTCAACCCTTGTAGCGTGTATGATTGTATCGGTTCCAGAAGATAAGTCAATTTACGTTGACCTGAATCGTCTCATGAAAGAGTTTTATCTGTTTAACCTTTGATCGTCTTTGAAAGAAGGGACTAGGATCGCTAGAAGTTTTCCGTACGCTTGGAATATCACGTCCTAGTCGACCAGCGTGCGTTCCGATTCCTGGGAGATCAGCGCCCTAGGGACAGATGACGTTCGGATCCACTTCGGCGTTTAACCATGCGTACCTATGCTACAGCGAACGAGCAAACGCCCTCGGCCGGCCTACCTCTGCAATTGCATTATAAAAGCTTTCGCATGTGGGTCAGTATCTCGGTAGGGATACGCCCGTAAGGGTGGTGACAGCCCCTTAGGGAAGGTAAGTTGTGCCCCGCGAGAACCTATCCTGTCGTAGGGGACCGTGGGATGTACAGCTGGCGCACTCGGCCGGAGCGGCGAAGGGTTAACGCAGGTTACAGTGTCGTCCCTGAGTTGTCTCTAAAAAGCTGAAAGACTAAGTTTCTCCTGCGTGACGCGGCCGGGAGGGCCCTTGCTCGCGCGGGGGCCGATGCACTCGACATCGTCAGTTAGGCGGGTACCGGTTCCAGAAGTACGAGTCTAGGCCCTATGCGGACGATATCAGAGTTTGCAATGGTGTCCCCCCTTGCAGAGGGATGAAGGCACCGGTCGCTCGGGTAGTCATGCGGTCAGGAAGTCACCTCTTAAGGGGCAACTCCCTTTTCTACCTACGGGAGGCTGAGCTAGAGCCTCAACCTTGCTTACGGTGTACTAGTAAGGATAAAGGTATCGCTCGAGCAAACGTCAACGGTCGGGGCGCTACCTCAACCCTGATGATCATGTACTAAAAATCGCTCCGATCGTACGACCGGGCCGCGTATTAATTTATTCTGACTAATGTACTGACGATTAAGTCTCAGCGTACATCGTAGATCTACTCGTCATAACATTAACCCTATCGACCCCTCAACCTCTTTGGTCGAAGGGTATTACTGCAGATCCTAACCTTCACAGCGTGCGTCGTAACAATGCGCGCGCATACTCTCGAAATTTTTCTCGCCGATTCGCCCCGGCCTTATTGGCCGAGGAATTCGTTTCGAGTGTCACGCTCAAGCGTGCACACCCTTTCCATTCCAGACTGGCTCCATCATGGTAGCCGACATCGTCACCGTGTCGAATGCAAAAGCATGGCCAAATACCCTTGTAAGGGTATTTGGTCCGACACCGCTCCTCCCGCTTCTCCTCCTCCACCTATATCTCCTCCCAATACTCCACCGCCCGTACGCTCGTTAACCATCTCCCCGTTTCCCCTCTGCTCCTCGTCTCACTCTTCTACCGCACCTCCTCTCGCTCCTCCCGCTCCTCGTCCTGCAGCTCCTTCGCCCCTCTTCATTTCCCCTCGCGCTCAATCTCCCGCTCCTCTTCAACCTCCCCCTCCCCCTCCTCCTTTTCCCGCTCCTTTTTCCACCCCTCCTCCTGCTCCTTTTGCCGCTTCTCCTACTCCTCCGCCAAACAACGTGACACAGATCCTGCCATAGCCATCTCCTATGAAAAAAAAAAAAAAAAGGCCCACCACGTGGA